GAACCCTGCATGGTGTGTTTTGGTGTTTTTTTTCAAACAAACACAAAAACGAATAGAATACAAGCATTTGCTAATTAAATAGTACTAATTCTACACATTTTGTTTCTATTAATGGGGTTTAATTAAAAGCTCATTTAAGCATTGCTATTAGTGTACTATTAAAAGTTAAGTGAGCTTTATGATTGCTCTATCTTTAAGGAGGTATAAAACAGGCTGTGGATAACAGGTCTGAGAGGAAGCTGGTGAGTTGTAGACCTTTCCGTCTGAATCTCCAACATTCATAGCTCCTTTTATTTCACAAATAATAGGACGCTTCCTCTCAGCCCCATCTCTCAATGTTTTCATAGCTATTTTACAGCTCACAATAAAGATGAAATATGAGGGATATTAGGACTTGGCGCATCCATTTCTCTCTTGCTCTCTGTCTCTGGCTCTCTCAACATGCCAAGACTGCATTTCCTCCTTTCAAGTCAAATGGTGTGTAGACAAGCCAATAAAGAGATGCAACCAGTTTATGACATTAGAGAAACACACACACACTTGCAGCTTTCCAGAAGCATTCCTCTCTTACACATAACCGAGACTATAAAAACATGCTTGTCATATTTTTTAAAAACATACACTTGTCTCCTTCTCTCTTGTTAACTCTTAAAAATCGACTATCCTTTTGATCAGGAGTGAACTTCATACCATATGACAGACAGACAGACTGATAGACTGATCGATTGATTGATTGATTACGGAATTCTGGATGATCCGAGTACTGCTTCTGGAAGTCTCCCTTGCTGTAGCCAGTCTTTAGCCAAAACCTAAAGTCTGTTATGACACATAAAGACATTCCTATATACACACCCAGCAGACATAACACCATGCAACCGTATGCCTAAAATCAACACTGGTGTTCCTGACGGTGATCTCCCTCTCTTCACTTAATCTCTGTCTGCCGCTCTGAATCTGGCTTTCACTTCCCATATCATACAGTCTGCTGGACCTGCACTCACACACATATACAGAGTCACCACAGCACCGCTCCTCATGGTTGAACAGCAACAGACAGGCTGTTTTAAAGGGATTGTCTGCATAAAAATGAAAATTATGTCATGTACTCACTCTCATGTACATGCTTCCTTCTAATAGAGAACAACAAATATATAGAGAGAGAAAAATGTTAAAGGGTGGCATTTCTGCAGTCTGCTAAAACTTGTTATGTAGGTCTGTTTAGATGTTTTTTAAAATACTGGGAGACTAGCTTAAGACCAGCAAGTATCTGCCGCTCTGAATCTGGCTTTCACTTCCCATATCGTACAGTCTGCTGGACCTGCACTCACACACATATACAGAGTCACCACAGCACCGCTCCTCATGGTTGAACAGCAACAGACAGGCTGTTTTAAAGGGATTGTCTGCATAAAAATGAAAATTATGTAATGTACTCACTCTCATGTACATGCTTCCTTCTAATAGAGAACAACAAATATATAGAGAGAGAAAAATGTTAAAGGGTGGCATTTCTGCAGTCTGCTAAAACTTGTTATGTAGGTCTGTTTAGATGTTTTTTAAAATACTGGGAGACTAGCTTAAGACCAGCAAGTAAGGCTAGTTTAAGTGTTTTTCTGTACCATAAAAGTATTACATGCAAGTCATATTCATATAGTCACAGCTTAGTGTTTAATGGAAAAAGAAAAATCATATACACAATACATGATACAATAACAACTTCTGGAAGCAATAACATGATTTTCTTTTTTGGGTGAACTAACCCTTTAAGCATTTAGAAGAGTATGTCAGTAGCATGCTCTCACATGCCATCTCTCATCTCCTTCTTTGTGTTTTCTGATCCCACTCCAGTTACTATCGTCAGTCCGAGGAGTGACATAACAGCTGAGGCAACTGTGAGAAACTGTAAACTCCAACAGATTTAGAAAACACTGCTACTCAGCCAGAAAAAAAGGGGATTTTTTTTTAATCAAACTGACAAACTTTATAAACAGTATAAATCTGAAATATTGTGTTACACGTGCACATGAACCAAAAGCTTCAGCATATTGCAATCTATCTGTGATTAGACTCAGATAGATTGCAGATGCGGTCAGATTACCAGTTTTTTTTACTACAAAAACAGACCTATGACAGTAACGTTTTGCTTCTTGCATTGTGGGTTAGCTTGTGCATCTCGAATAAATCTGAAGCTGAAGATAGAAAGAGGTTATCGGTCATCCACACGCTCGGGTGCCTTTTTTTCCAGGACAGAGGGTTTTGGGACGACTTTGCAAATGTAAACTCTTCAAGCTCTGCTGAGTCCACATAATGACAGGCACAAAAAATAAACCTACACTCATGGACCACAGTCAAACACTGCAGTGAGACTTTCTGAGAAACAATTTGAGTGCAAATGCTTCTCTCCAACAACATGAAACAAATTCTGAATAATTTAATATGGTGGTTTAAGATGCTTATAGATATAAATACAGTTCATGGTCAAAGACAGAGAGACTTTCAAATGAATAAAACATCTGTGGTGTTGAGGATGTGAATGTTTTAGACCGTGGCAACACCGTGACACTCTGACACTGAAGAATGTGTCAATAAAATTCTTATAACACATCGCCAAAATCACACAATGTCTCTTACAATTTTGCAACAATGTCCCTCTTGGTTGTTTTCTCTTAAAATGCATTCTCTTATTTAAAGGAACAGTCCCCCTAAACATTCTGAAGATTTTCTTACACTTTGGTGTTATATCTTAAATATAATAAATACTGCTGGATAAAACAAAAATTTGTCTTCATTTCAGGCTGCAAAGCAACAAAATGTGATTATTTTAAAGGGGTGTGATTCTTTTCTATGCCCACTGTGTGTGTGTGTGTGTGTGTGTGTGTGTGTGTGTGTGTATAGTTTGTGTAAAAAAAGAAAAAAAAAGAAAAGAAATGTATTTCACAAAAATTGTTGACACACACACTCTCCCCCTTTACTTACCATACACATAAATTGTAAGAATATGACTAATGCTGATGAATAAACAGCCTTTAAGGTAAGGCTATTAAATAGCAGTCCCAAACTATTTTTTGTTAATACAATTTAGTTGGTATGATCCACCACAATTATTTAAACAAAATAATACAAATGGAAAATAACATGGCCTTTTTGGCTTATGGAAACAACAGTTACCACGGTGAATATACAATACTAACATGAAATGTTAATGAAACATGGAAACTGCTCCTGAATAGAATGAATATCATACGTTCATGCAAATCCTTCCCAGCTAACACACAAAGTACCAGTTATGTGATTTGTTGGTACTTTACTTTTATTTCACACGTTGCATGCTCATAGTTCCTGTTGCGCTTTAGTGAAATGATATATAGCCTGCTCCGCCACATTTGCGGGTGCAATTGAAGAGTGCATGCTACAAGCACAAAATAATATCTGACAGGACAGGAAAGTTCATTTTTCTAAGAAGAGAGACTTTTATTTCGTAACAAGTTACGAAAATAATGATATAATAATGACACTGACATTAAAGGGTTAGTTCACCCAAAAATGAAAATTAGCCCATCAATTACTCACCCTCAAATCATCCTAGGTGTATATGACTTTCTTCTTTGAGACGAATCCAGTCAGAGTTATATTAAAAAATGTCTTTGATCTTTCAAGCTGTTTAATGGCAGTCAGCGGGTGTTGCATGCATCAGTCCAAAATAAGTTAAATAAAAAGCGCCCATCCATAATAAAAAGTGTCTCACACGGCTCCACGGGGTGAACAAAGGCCTCCTGTAGCGAATCGATGCATTTTTGTAAGAAAAATATCCATATTCAAAACGTAATAATCACTTTAATGTAGCTTGCGCCAACAGTAGTTACACGGAAGCAGATCCGGGTGGATGACGTATGAGGTCGGTGTTGCGCATGCACCGCTCAGAAGTGATGAATGCGGAAGCGCAGGGGAGAGATCAAAACAAAACAACAGTCACGAATTAGAAGTACAAAACGAGGATTTGTAAAGAAGAATGTCGGAGGATTTCGATATAAGCCAAGAGGAGACTGGTTTTCCTTTGCAAAAGTAAGGAACTTTGCTTCCTATGCTCCTGTTAACAAACGTTAGTTTTCACGAGACTCACTGGCGCATGTGCAACGCTGACCTCATACGTACATGCTCCTGGAAATGCTTTCATGTACAACTGTTAGCGCAAGCTACATTAAAGTGATTATTATGTTTTGAATATGGATATTTTTCTTACAAAAACACATCGATTCGCTACAGGAGGCTTTTGTTCACCCCCCCAGAGCCTTTTTATTTAACTTCTTTTGGACTGATGCATGCAACACCCGCTGAGTGGCATTAAACAGCTTGAAAGATCGAAGAACATTTTTAATATAACTCCGACTGGATTCATCTGAAAGAAGAAAGTCATAACACCTAGGATGACTTAAGGGTGAGTAATTTATGGGCTGATTTTCATTTTTGGGTGAACTAACTCTTTAAGCCTGACAACACCTGACCGCATCTACTGAATAGGGCCAGTGCATTTTTCTCGGGTACTTTTTACTCAAACTGCATCTGACAGAAGTGTCAACAGCTTTCATGCACACCTTTCGAAATAAAAATGTCGCATCAGAAAAACATTTAGAATTATGTTTTTTTGTTGTTGATGTTGTTTCTTTGACTGTACACTCCCGCAACCCACCAGTTGAGAAACACTGTTCTAAAGAACCATTTTTCTACTATAAACAACCTTCTGTGTAATGGAAAGGTTCCATGGATGTTAAAGGCTCTTCATGGAACCATAGATGCAAATAAAGAACCTTTATTTTTAAGAGTGTAATGTCATTTTTGTGTAACTCCATTGAATTCTTTTGAGAACCTTGGAGTAACACATAAATACCATATGAGTACTTTTTGTAAAGCTAAACATCTGCACATTTGTATTCATCATGCAAAATTCGATAGAACATCACTATTATTTTGCTGTCCTTCCATCCCTACAGTATTTGCCTGACCTGCAGAAGTTGTGTGGTCCAAGACCTCCTTCTCCATTGGGGTATTTGATGGTGTTGTATGGATGCTGGAAGGTCTCATTCCAGAAAAGACACGGCCTCCCTCCTTCCAGGCTTGTTTGGTTCTGTCGACCTCTGTAGTCCTCTCCATTAGCTGTATAACACTCTGAGAGACACAAGAGAAAATATCTTTTTAATCCAAATGTTCCACAGAAATTTGACATAAACGCAACACATTTTATCCAGCAAACTGTGGGTAGCTAGTACAAACAGACAGAAATATTCAGAAATATTCTTACATAATTTGATAGAAATCCTATTTTACAGTTTTTCTCAAATGCTAAAACACAAAAGCCAATCCTCTAAACCAAATGACCAGTTGTATAAACACATTTACTAAATCTAGCCATCATTTTCCAATATCATAAACACATTTCACATGAAGACACAATTCACAAAACACAATCCTCCGTTCTCATATCCCGCGGTGCCTGGCAAGAGACAATATCGCCTGCGACGTGGATGAGGTGATGTGGCCCGATGCAGCTCAGCGACATGATGCCGCACAGTGATTGTGGTGTGAATAAAGTAAATAAAAAAAACTTCACACCCTGATCATGTTTTCAAGAGTACTGTTGTGTGCAATAGATTCTGTTTTTGCATTGAGTTGTGTTACAGTAGTGTACATGCAGAATTTACTATAGATTTATACTCTTCATATGAAACTCACAAATCTAAATGCCTAATCCTCTGCAGAGATCTAAGAACATCCATTACTGTAAAGTTTCTAAAAATATGCATTGGCAGTTATGAAACAAAGAACCTTCTCACAAATTGAGCATTGTGTTTTCAATTGTTTTGCTGTAGTGTGTATAGTTTTTACATTTTTGAAAGCTTCGAGCTGCTCTTTTTGTGTGAAAGTTTGAGTTTTGAAGTGAGAAGGTGTGGTTGTGTTTATGTAGCTTTAGAAAAGGGTGTTGTGTTTAGACACTGGGGAACATGGAGGAAACGTTTGTGAAATGTGTTTTAGCATTTGAGAAAAACTGTAATTCATTATGATTTTATATAAACAATACATTTAGAACATAACGTAGTTTGGCAAAAATTGTGGTTATGGTCATTTTTTTTTAGTTTTACACTCAAACTGTTATAGTCAGATGTTATTGCATCTGTTAGCATGCAAGTCTGCTGTCCCAGGATGAGTCATAGCGCTGCGGGGAAGGGGTGGGGGAGAATAATTATAACGGAAGAAATAAATCAATTATATTACAAAATTGCATTTGTGTGGTATGACCTGTCTGCAAACTAAATACGTAAGCATGTGACAGTCGAGTAAAATGACAATTGAGTCATTTGCCCTTCTTTCAACTCGTGGCAAAAGCTAAACTGCAACAAAGTCTGGAAGGCAACCATATGGACCATTTTCTCAACCAAAAACAAGAGAGACCCAGGACTTATGCGCAGTCAAAATAATCAAGAGGGTAACTATTCCATCAAAGGGTATCTGTTGGCATTTCTAAGCTCTAGACTTCAAAGCATCTCATTTGGACTAAGTTCTGGTTTGAATGAGGAAGCTGGAATGTGGCGAGTGCGTGGATTTAAACCTTGACTTTCATATGTGAGGTACCTCAAAATCTGATAACATCTTCATTCTGATCTGCTTTCCAAGATCTCCAAAGGCCAACAAAATGAAAATGTGCAAAAATACCATCTCATATGAATATTAATAATAAAAAGCAATCTAGATTTTTCATTTCCATTGCTATGTGACTATGATGTTCTGGGTGGTTGCTTACTGGGTCAAGTCAAAAGAGCCCAAATTTTGGTCCCCAGATATTTTACACTTAAACAATAAAGGTGGGTTTCAAAGCGATGCCACAGAAGAACCATTTTTGGTTCCCCCCAAAAAAAGATTTCAGTGAAGAGTTCATAAAATAACCATTTTTTCTTTGTATGAAGAACATTTAAAAAATGTAAAGAACATTTGTTCCACTATAAAGAACCTTTGAAAAATGAAAGCTTTGTTTTTAAGGGTTTATGGATATTTTTTCACTCATTTTACATACACATACAAATATACTTTGCAAATGAGTTTGGAGCACAGGGAAGATTCTGAGATAATTAGCCTCTGTTTTCCAAGGAGAGTTGCCTAGATTTACCACTGATGTGGGTCGAGCCCTTCCTTCAGGGGATGAGTAGGGCATCATGCAACAAATCAAAAAACCACACAACCTCCCTAAACAAATGTATCCAATCAGAAAATACAGCCCTAAAAGCCGCAGAACACCTGGACAGTGTCCAGGCAGCACTGTGGAAGTCATGCTCGCTGGAATCAAAAAGAAAGAAAACCAGGTCTCATTAAAATGTGAAATCACAGGCTTTCCTTTTTGGGTGTCATGTAGATTTAATTAAAGTCATGCAGGTGGCAAGACTCAGAAACAACCCCCGCTGGGACATGAATGCTGTTGGGTTTCTGGAATTACGATGACCAGGTTTTTTTTTTTTTTAATAAGATACCTGTTTAGTTTTAATATTAATATGTGGTTTGCTCAATTTGTATGAACTATCTGAGTTAAATGGACAAATAGTTCACTCGAACATTTACATTCTGTCATTATTTACATAATTCATGTCATTTGAAACGTGCATGACTTTTTCTTTAGTGGAATATTTCATATAATAATTCATTAAAATATTTTTATATAATAAAAATATAAATATAATAATGATATAATATTCAGTTATTTAAATACTTTATAAAAGAAAGTTACTCTGGATATTCTTTAAAAAAAAAAACATTTTGTGATCCACAAAAACCAGAAAGTCCTACAGGTAGAATAAGTTATGGGACGATATGACAATGAGTAAATTATGACAGAATTGTCATTTTTCTGTGAATTATTCCATTCGTGTGCTTCTTTAAAATGGTGTTGATTACAAAAAAGGTTGCGGTTAAACTTTATAGCAACATTCATCCATACACACTTGCAGTGACAGACTTAGGCAGCAGATTGACATTCATAAAGGATGGCAATAAATAATGCGTGACTGGATGGTGTTGTCATTTCGTTAGGGGTCAGTCGATGCTTCTGCTGTCACGTGAAGCTCAGGGAGTTTATGGCACATTGGAGAGTCACACATCTCCCAGAGCAATCATGATTTCCTCTTTGTAATCTTGGACAGAGTTACTGTCAGCCAAACCATGCATTACTAATGGGATGGGCGTCCTTCCTACCCACTCTCTGCACAGCATACTACTAATTATTCCTATTTATGCATTGCAATGCTCACCTGCAAAATGCAAAAGTCACCTGAAGAGCAACTTTGCTGCCTCTGTGATGAGAAATAATCCTCTGCTGCTGCATATCTCAGTTGAATTGGGCCACAAACCGGCAGACATCTTGCTGCTGTGGCTAACCTCGGCAGAAAAGGTTTCCAGACGGGATGGCTGAAATAAGAAGGGCCCGAGGAAGGGTAGCAATTATAATTAAGTTGCGGCAGTGTAGGGAAACAGCTAGTAGACTGGGAAGAACCAGATAAGAAGGTTCATCATTGAGATGAATGGGTAGTCAAAACCCAGTGTGGGTTGCCGGGCGGCGTTCAAAGAAACCCAATTTTTGGAAAAAACACAACCATTTGCACTTGCATGTTCCTGAGGATGAGCTTTCCCGCTCTGTCAGCCGTAATAACATCACCTCCAACCGTTCCTAACTCCATCATTAAGTTTCCCCCTGTATCACCATGTGATGCCTTTGTTGTGGTTGGATCACAGGCCTTGATGAGAAACAGAGTCTCGGCCTCATGAAAGAGCGAATGGAAATAAAACTATAAAATGCAAGTACATCAACAGAAAAAGAAGCTCAGATCAGGAGGAAGGGAGGAACCACTCCACAGAACCAGAAACAAGTGAGTCTTAAAAAAACGGACAGAAGTGGATTATGTGCAAAGAGTTAGTTGCCCTGTTATTATATGTGAAAGGATTCATTGCTAATTGGTTCCATGTTGAGTTTGCAGATGCGCTCATCTTTGTAAGGGACCAAGAGAGACTATGCAGCATTGTGAACAGTACAAATTAAAAAAAAAAAGGGCAGTAATAAATTAGACTAAATTTGTTGTGTTTGTGACAACCGAAGGCACCAGGATTCACCAGTGACACAATTCTCAATAAAATCCAGCAGAAGTACTGGAGGAGAATAAAAAAGTAAATTATCTGTCATTAAAGCAATAGTTCACCCCAAAGATGAAAACTGTCATTTACTCATCCTCATGTCATTTCAAACTTCCTTTAATTTGTGGAACACAAAATAAAAAGTGTAGCTGAATACCCTAAATCAGTGGCTCTAAATTAGAAGGTGGGGATCCACTAGGGGGCCTCAGCAAACTTCTAAGGGAGCCTTCAGATGAATTCAAATCATTTACAATAATACACAAGCATTCAAATAAGCCAACATAACTCAGGATCACTTTCAAAAGTCTGATTTCTAGATCATTTGGAATCTTTATCAGTAATAACAAACAACTGGAATAGTGATGGGGGCTTCAAACATTGTTGTGGTCAGTGGCGTGCCTTGGCCTAAATGTTCTTTTCTATACAATAAAACTGAACGCTGACTGTCTGTATTACTTTTTGGGTATTTCAAGTCTTCTGAAACCATCAGTAGCTTTGTGTGAGGAAAATACCCCAATTTAAGTCAATATTCACTGCCACAAACTCAAATTTGTCACATTATAATAAGTCACATGACACATAAGAACCAATGGTGACTGACATCACTGACGTTGCATCATTTACACTTTTTTAAGGCAGCTTTGTTAACTTGTTAACTTTTTTGACAATTGAAATAAAACTGAAATAACATAAAATATCAGTGTTAGAAATATTAGATAAAAAACCTGCTATGGCAACTAACTGAAATAACATTAGTTTAAGCTAAAGTATTAAAATTAGTAAAACAAGAAATAAAACTAAAAAGAAATCAATCATGTTCTTGTATTATGTTCCACGGAAGACAGAAGTAAGGCCGTTCAGGTTTTGGATAACATAAGGGTGAGTACACGATTTTAGGGTGAACTAACTTCAGCTATAAAGCTGTTAACTTGAAAAGCAAAATACATCTAATCATCACACAATCTTTCCATGGTTATTTGCATATTCCAACCCCATGT